TGTTGGGAAATAACTGGGGCTATGCTAAACCCCTTAAACAGCAAGAAACGCAGTAGAGAAAAGTACACAAAGATTTAACGATGTTCGGCAAACTTGCATATGTCCTCGGGAGCCACACAATTAATTTCTTATTAATTGAAGAAATTACAATGCAAGAGCAGATTTCAAACTTGAGATCTCTCAATAAATACAAGTTTGTTACTGTAGCTACAGTAATAACTCCTCTCTTTAAATCCCCTTTCAATTCTCTCTTTAATTTAATTCTCCTCTTAAATTCCCCCAATTTTCACTATTGAGAGCTGAGAGGAGAGAGAGAGAGAGAGAGAGAGAGAGAGAGAGAGAGAGAGAGAGAGAGATTGTGTCGCTAGAGGGAGAGAGCACGTAAGAGAGTAGAGAGAGAAGAAGAAGCCCCCCCTAGGGAAACCCTAGCGCTGAGTTCTCGACAGGCTGTTGACAGCCTGTGAGGAGCTCGCCTGAAGGTTCTCGAGCTCACCTGTTTTATGTCGAGCTCGCCTGACGCCACAACCTCGCCTGCGTGGGGTTCTCGAGCTCGCCTGACTCGCCCACGCTTGTCTGGATCTCGCCCGCTCGACCTCGTCTGAAGCTTACCTCGAGCTTGTTGTCGACCTCGCGTGAAGCTTGCCTCGAGCTTGCCTGAAGCTCCTCGCTTGCGGAGGTTTGGATCCACACCCAAATCCAACACATATATCTTGTTTGCATGTATAGCTGAAACTGAAGAGCTAGAAAGTTTCTGCAAAATGTAGAACATGGAATGAGTTTGACATTCAATTTTATTTCCTGGAGAATTAGGATCAATAGATAGATCCCATCCAAACATCTTTACATTAAATACTTGTAAATTATCACAACTATAGTTTCCATTCAATTCCATCACTTTGTCTCTTTATTTTTATAACAGAAGTAAATAGGCTTTTAGTCAGACACAACGAGTTATTCTCTTCTAAAAATAGCACAAAGAATATGTATTCTCATGCAATCAGAACAGTATGGAGCTTTGTCTTTGTTGCTTATTTCTTTCTATCTGCAATTTGTTAATCTTTGCAGTCCAACACCGCGTTGAGCCTGCAGCAAGAGAAGAGGCTGAAGCAGATGGGGGCGACGGTGAGGAACGCATCGTCATATCTTGAGAAGCTGAAGATGAGTAAGGAGAGGGAGAAGGTGATCAGGGATGTGATGGAGAAGATGTCTCCAGAGCATCTCTCTGATCTTCTTTCCTTCTATCATATGATGGGGAAAGTTTGCGCTGAAGTTTTGGAGAAGAAAATCATGGCTCCATGAAATACTATGAAATGTTTGCTTTATTTTTTTGTCAATGCGAGCTTTCAACTTTCTTTGAATACTTGAAAATTAAAGGAGAAAAATGTAAGGCTTCAGTGTTTTTGAACCTCACAATTTAAAAGAATACTGATATCTTCCTTGTATTTATCTGCAATAGGGTTGTTTGCCTATCTGTATCTCTTTTTCTCTTACTTCATATAAATTATGATGAATGGAAAATATATATTTGATTCCAAAAATCATTTTCTGTTGATCGATATCAGACAACCATCTTTGGCTGATTATAGATTATATACTAGGTTTTTGCCTAAAATTATGTTGAGTCTCAAAATTTGTTGCAATAGAAGATTAAAGAAACAAACGAAAATGATGCAGCATCTTTAACCAAGGTTACTTCAGTTTCTTTATATTTCAAAAATATGGATGTTTTGCTAGAATATGCAGACAGTACATGAAGTAAGGCTAGTATCCACTGGTTTACTTCAACTTATGTTCTTGTTTATCTTTTAAAAATGAGGTGAAAGAAATATAAGGATTTTGGTATAATAGGAGAGGCTTTTCTCTAAAATGTCATCAGTGCTAGCATATCATAAATGTTTAATTGTTTCCTCATCAGTATTCGGTAATTGACACAACCATATTGCTTAAACAGTACTTTTTACTAGTCGCAGCCACCTAGACCACATGAAACTGTTAAGTCTTCTACCAAACGGTAACAATAATCTTTTTTTATTCTTCTATAGATATCTTGTTATCACTTAAAAATGAAATTCAAAGTAACTAAGAACTATTACAGATTTAATTATATAATGGCATCTCTCTCAGCTCCACCTATGAAGGCAACATGAGCGTTATAGCTGTTTTAGTAATGAAAAATAATCTTCAAACAATGGTAGACACGTGTCCCACATTATGCGTAATCGAGTCAGCATTACTAGATAAGCAGAGCTCAATTCGGTCAACTCGATACGCCGACATCTTGCGAGGGCGACTCAAAATGCACCACATATTGACGACTCGAAAGGCGTCACATATTGACGACTTGAAAGACGTTGCGTGTCGTTCCCTGGTTAAGTCGACTGCTTAATCATTTTATTCGACCGACTAATCGGCTAGTACCTTGCAAGGGCGACTCCGGAGGCCGGTCTTTCTCAACCACCAGCCGAATCGAAAGACGATGAAACGTCTCAAGCCTCGAACCCCCTCCTAAACAATGGTGGCCAATCACAGTAATAAATATTATTAAATGCATTATATGTGCCATCATTTCTCTGTAATCAATAGTTTTTATGACACATAGAACCATGCCGACATCACACACTCCCAATCACTTCGCATTAAATATCAAAGTGACCTCTCCTCCACTCGTCGCCCGACACCTGTAAAGAGAAGGCTGACGTGACCATCAGCTCACACTCGGTCGAAGTTACTATTCTACCATTCTACAACTACTATATATAGGGATACTACTTTCAATGACGGGTAAGCTTTTTTCTACTACTTTCTGAGCTTAAGAAGTGCTGCAGTTTCTTTTACTTCTCCACACAAGCAGATCACTGACTTAATCGTCGTAGGAACAACCGGCAAATCACACTCCACCCTCTTACAATTTGCTGCCTACGTAGGGAAGAACAGTTTATATCGGAACCAGATATTCGGAGGGTCAGAGGACACTTTCAACTTGATCAAATCCTTTCATTTGACTATGTGATTTCATACATCAGTAGCGAGTATTAAGGGGAAAGCCATGGCCCCCTCAAGAAGAAGATAATTCTCTTAAGTTTGGGCTCAAAGTTCACTTCTTTAAGCCATGTACGTAGCAATCCGAATCTGTTGCAGACACCCCCACCCATACCTTTTGGCTAGCCATTCAGTGGGTTTTTATATTTTTTTATATTTTTTTACTTTTTTCTATTAAATCTGAATTTCAAATTCAACTCAAATCAACCAATCCCTCTCACTATTTTCTCCAAATTCAAATCATAATTCTAGAGACAATGTGTATTTACTAAACCTAAAGGAATAATTTTTTTTGCTTTTCATTATTCTCTTATTTTTGTTATTAAGAGTCATAACCAACAAATATATTTTTTAATTATTTTGTCATGAATTTCTCTTTTTGTTTCTTAATTTATTTAATTATTTTATTATTGGTTCGGTAAACCCTAGATGTGAATAGTTTATTTATTTATTTATTCAATCAATTGTATGAATTTATTCTAATTTTTAAAATATGTTGTTAGTTGATATGTTTGACAGACAAAAGAAACTTAGATTCATTTTAATTAATATATTAATCGGAGAAAGTAGTAACAATGGGGGATTAATGAGTCCAAACCCCGAAACTTTTGACCCTCCAAAATTCAAATCCTAGCTACGTCACCGAATGCCTTCAGAAAGATAAGTTGTTTTCATGCTCTAGATCCGTAAGCTCGTTGGTGTGATCTAAACTTTAGGACATGCTGATTGCAACGCATTTGTTTAACTCGAAATAATGTCAAAATTGACTAGCCGATACTCCACTTGAATCTCATACTTTGCGGAAGAAACTCTATCCCATCTAAGTCACCACCAGACGACTAATTTCTTGGGGTAGTACATGAGCCGACCCAGCAACTAGCTAGCAATAGCTAGCGGACCAGTCTGATCATCATGTTTCCGAACCTAATGGGCCTACTCACAACTAATAAATCTATTCCAGTTTTCCGTCATCTGATTTTTATCATGTTTGAATCAGCTCCGTTGGATTCAGCCGTCTATGTCTCAGGTCATATTATCGGATTCGGAGCCTCCCCACTACTAAAAAATAGTGGAGACATTACTACTTGTATTTTAACTATTGATTGGTTAATTGATGGTTTAGATTTATTTTTTGGAGTGTAAAATAAGAATGAATTCAGTTCATAGGAGTATAATGAGTATTGTACTTGGAATTAGACTAAATATCAGAAAACCCCGTTAACTTTGGATGTTTATCGAAAACCCCCCATAACTTTGAAAATATCAGAAAGACTCCCTTAAACTTAAGGGTTATCAGAAAATTCCTTTGAACTTTGAAATTTCATCAGTAAACCCCATTTGACTTTGAGCTTTTACGGGGGTTTTCTAATAATATCTTAAAAATTAAAGGGCTTTTTTGATAAAATTGTAGAGTTAAAGGGGAGTCTTCTGATAATCCTTAAACTTAAGGGAGTTTTCTTTGATATTTTGAAATTTATTGGGGGTGGTAATCAACCAAAGTGAAGGGTGGTTTTCTAATACTTAACCTTGGAGTTGATCATATATAGTCATGCACAACCGTCTGTTTAACTAATCAACAGCTAAAAGTAGAAGGGCTTGACTCTCCATACTATGTGCAATCACTGTGAGATAAGTTTGCACTCAATTTATACACAGCCAGCGCAATCTGCCACCTATTAAATAAACTTTAGAAAAAATTTCAAACGTGAATCTGGCTCCTATTAAATAAAGACCACAAAAAATTATAAACGTGAAACTCTGGCTCCTATTAAATAAACTAAATATGTGTGAACGTGCAGAAATAATGAGCTTGTCCCCATACTAATTGTACCACATGTTTAATTTTAAACTTAATTAAACTCTGCATGATTCAAGGGCAAGGCATAAAAAAAGCATTATGTTCACATATCAACATCTACCTACAGCTGTTCACTGATCCCCGATAACTTCTAGTAGCTTAGGGGATTGGGATCCTCTACTAATGAGGACCCTTCCTAAGATCTCCTCATGAGATCTTGGCCTTTGATTTATCAATCAAAGATCATGATCTCCTCATGAGGAAAAGCAGAGAGGAGGAAGAGAATGAGATCTTGATCTTTGATTGATAAATCGGCCAAGCTCTCCTCATTAGGAGATCTTAGGAGGATCCTCGTTAGTAGCGGATCCCAATCCAACATTAATGACATTAATCAGTGGATTTTATCCGTTGATCGCTAGTAACCAAATATTGTCAGCCATTCGATACTTACTAAATTAACAACGCAGTTTAGAGATTAATTACTAATTCAAGGACATGGACACAGTTGCCGTTGGACCCCGCACAAAACAAATATAAGTCTTATTTACTATTAAATTTTAAACTGAAAATTTGGCGCGTGTAAATGCATAAGCCCACGTTTATATGCACACGACATATACTAAACAAAGTAGGGTGTGATCTCATTATTCTATACCTCCTATAGTTGGTAACGCATCTATTTATATTTGATAGTGCATATATGCTCCTCGCTCATATATTATTGAGACTTTCTATATTAAGTCTTCTATATCATATTGGTAAATTTATTTCACACGGATGACCTTGTTTTTTTCCTGGAAAAATAAAGTCTTCAAACCCTGACCCTAACAGCACTTCTATTTATGCCCCCGAGAGAGAGAGAGAGAGAGAGAGAGAGAGAGAGAGAGAGAGAGAGAGAGGAGCAGAGGGCAAACAAACAAGCAAAGACGGCTCCTAGAGATCTATCCATGGTATTGCCTCGAGTTCTCATTGTCTCTAGGAGGTGTGTTCGCAAGAACAAGTTCGTCGATTTCGTCGGTAAACAATATATCCCTCTTACTGTCTTTTAATTTGCCTATGTATATATAAAGTAATAAATGCTCCTTAATTTCCCATTCAAAAATTCTTCTCGCCATGGTTAACTTGCTAATAAAGTGATGTATTGTTTTTGGCATTATAGTTTGTTTTATGAACATTTAGTATATATATATAGAGTAATATATGCTCTTTTCCCCTTCAGAAATTCTTCTTGCCATGGTTAACTTGCTAATAAAGTGATGCATTGTTTTTGGAATTATAGTTTGTTTTATGAACATTTAGGCCAAAACATGAACAAACCGTTTATATTCCAAAAAATTTTAGGCTAAGAAGCACTTATATTGTACATTATATAGTTTACATAATTTGCACTTATAACCCTATCTTCTTTATTGACATAAGAATACTTACTGTTTTTTAAACTAGTATATTATGTCTTTCTTTTTCTATTTTTGGTTTGGCGAGGGAACTTCCCTATGATCCTTCGGACCGTGGGAATCAAACCATCGAGCATGGCTAAGGAGCATCCCCCAAAGCAAGACCTCGAGTATTTCACGAAATTAAATTCGTATGGTTGCTCCCCAAAAG